ACAGGAGAAACGGGTACCGTACTCACCTCTAGTGTCTGGGTGCATGTATTGCGCCACCATTTGTAATATTGCTTCCTCTTGCAGTGATCTGACTTATGCTAATACTAGAATTTATAGCTTCGGGGTTTAGATTTTTATTAATTACTAGCCATCCCCTGCCGTGCGTTGCTGTGGCCCACATGAGAGTTCTGTGTGGGAGGTTTGGCCCAATTCTAGGTGAACTAGATCCATCATTGTTTGAGTCCACAGTGCTCTTGGGATGTAGGTGAACTACAACTCCAAAACCACCAAACCCTCCCAGTATTTTCTGTTGGTCATGGGAGAACTGTGTGCCAAGTTTGTTTCAATTGCATCATTGGTGGGGTTCAGAATGCTCTGTGATTGTAGGTGAACTATAAATCCCAGCAACTACAACTCCCAAATGTCAAGATTCTATTTTCCCCAAACTCCACCAGTGTTCACATTTGGGCATATTGAGTATTCGTGTAGAGTTTGGTCCAGATCCATCATTGTTTGAGTCCACAGTGCTCTCTGGATGTAGGTGAACTACAACTCCAAAACCAAAGGACACTGCCCACCAAACCCTCCCAGTATTTTCTGTTGGTTATGGGAGAACTGTGTGCCAAGTTTGGTTCAATTCCATCGTTGGTGGGGTTCAGAATGCTCTGATTGTAGGTGAACTATAAATCCCAGCAACTACAACTCCCAAATGACAAAATCAATTTTTTTGAGTGAAGGACATACATTGGGTTGTTAGGTGTCTTGTATCCAAATTTGGTGTCAATTTGCCCAGTAGTTTTTGAGTTCTGTTAATCCCACAAACGAACATTACATTTTTATTTATATAGATTCCACCTTCAAATGTTCTAATTTATTATATTCAGTATAGAAGGGGGACTATTTCTTTTATAACTTTTGAAGTCATACCTTGTTTCAGATCTAAACCATTTTGACCTGTCTTCTAATGCAGTGTAACTGTAGAAAAATCTGTTGAAATTACGGTTCAAAAAAATAACTAAAATCTTAATACGGTACTTAATTTTAAACTGAGGCATTAGTTATTTTACAGTCAAAACACTCATTAAAATTGCTCTTTAATGAAGAATGTTCTTCACAGGCCTGTCATTTAGGTGACTGGGCTTTTCAAGTTAAGGTGTTACAAGGAATGTGTGGGTTTTGCAGACTTGCCTCCTTCCCCCATTTAAGTAATATTTAGTTA